TTTTAATTAACATTAGGGATTAACCAGTTTAATTTAATAAATTAAGTGATTCCATATTTTGAAAGTATTAAAAAAGTTTTATTCGTTAAAGTAACGAAAAATCTAAAGAGCGTAAATTGACACTCAATATATATAAATGAATCCTACATGTTAAATTTTTAATGGTGTATAATACCTCTGGTCTGTGGTGTAGGTAGTATAGACAGGTATTTCAGAATCAGCAGTACTATTATACAGGAATTCTATTAAGTTTTATTCATTTCACCAGCCTTCAGTCGACCAGATTTTAAAACATATACCTTACCCTCCGGCGACGACGACACATAACTTATTTTCTCGTTCATCTATGAGTTGATATTGTAAACTATTGTTATTATATTATGACGTGCTGTTTTTGCGTGTCAAAAAGTCTACCATGCACACTTGACTTATTGGCGGCAGCGACGAAACCGGAAATGACATCTGCCAAAAACAATGTTTCATCCCTTGCTCCCACTGGTTGCACACACACAAATATTACAGTGCACAGGATATACGTTTTTCGAACCCACTACGGTTTCTAACCCCCGGATAATTCTTCCAGTCCGTTCGTTTGTCGGTGGCGGTATAGTACATTTCGCGCTACGAAGTTCACGACGACTGAGTGAAAATATTAGTCGCGTCACAAATGCATCGCMTTTCACGGAAATGAACGCTGCGCCTCGCTTGCTTCTATCATCGACTTTGACGACTTTTTCACGTRGGGTTACTGTGGACATAATCGTAATGTATGTTATTGCTTCAAAACGCGCATAAATCAGAGTTCATTCTTATCGTCTGAAAATGTTCGTTTTCAAAACATTTTACCCAACATATTTATTTGTATTTTTTTCATAATAATATTATTGATATACCACACTCCCCTGGCCCAAAAACCCATAAAACTTGCGGACGAGATAACGCAAGCGCGTTAGGTGTTAACCTGACCTAAAATATCACCTTAAAATACGGACCATAATAATATTTAAAGTAGATACGAGTTGTGAAATATTACCGTTATTACTATAAGTATAAACGTTAGTATATACATATATACGGTGTGATTTATTTTGCGTATGACACTCATTATGTATAGTTCTTTCAGAAAATTCTAAAKMTTTGATAATATTTCTTTAACATAATCTTAAGACGTTACAAAACAATATTTTTGGAAAAATCTAGATTTTTCACTATCTCTTATACCGTATTTTTTATTTTTATTTTACACTTTTTGATTTAATTTTTTAATTCTTATTTCGAAGCTGTATATTATTTGTAATATTTTATAAAAATGCAGTTTTGAACTAGCAGTTATCAATATTATAGTCTGTCTATTATATAGCCTTACTAATGAGTTTCTTGCGTTGAAATATAGATCAACCATCATCAGTATTCAGTACCTATAAGTAGTCTTACACGATACACTGTTACTATTATTATATAGTGTGTCAATCTGTGTCGACAATACGACGCGATTTTGCGGCACATTTTCATCAATAATATTTGATACACAATGTATTTCACTTGCAGTTCGCTACCAAACGACCACGGCGGGATCCAGTCATCGATCGAATTCGTACTCTGTAGAATAGGCTGCTTTAAATTTTTAAAAGTAACTTTTAACTAGTTGGTTTTGGTACATAATAAACTAATAAGTAATAACTATCTTTTCTAACTAGTAAAATTAAACACATACAATTTTCTCATCTAACAATAGTGCCGGCAGAATAAAATTTCACTCGTCGCAAGATTGAAGTCCAATGGCAAAATTTGACAGTAGGTACTTACCTATATTACTGTATTTCGGTACACTAAATTCAATAAATATCTACATTTTAATATATCATACTACATCATTGTTAATACTTTTAGCATTCCAGAAATATTGTATAAGCTATTATTTGATAATATTCAGTATAAATCGCTGCTTACGAATTGTGTCCCGTATAAAAAGGTATAATACTAATTGCGTCCCGGGTTTTTCTTGAGCATGTCYGAATTGCGTCCCTATTACCTGTAATATCTTAAAAAGCGAAATTATTGGTTATTGTCAATTTATTATAGATTTAATGAAAACGACTATGTTAAAACTTTGATAATTTTATAGTGAGTTACGTTCTGTAGTCAAACACAATTATTGTCACAGTGCAGTGTAAACGGTTCACTTATTCACACGTTTCACTTTTTTTAAACCAAGTTTTTAACTTTTAATAACTATGGCGAGTGAAATTAAAACTATGTTTAGCGAAAAACAAAGGGATTTATTTGTGATTGTTGTGTACAGATTTCGCTTCCAYAAGAATACTTAAAAAATAATTTAGAACGGTGGTGTTGTTAATATATTAAGCAAAACCAATATTTTTGACCTACATATTGTAGTAACTATTACTACAGATAGTCCTAAGTCTGCACAAAAATGGGAAGGAAAATATTGTTTTATTTAATTCGGGACGCAATGYAATTAGTATGACCACCAAAAAAACTCAGGACGCAATTAGTATGACCTCAAAAAACACCCGGGACGCAATTCGGAAGGAATTTTTGACGCGGGACGCAATTCGTATGCAGCCGTATGAATCATGCCACTAAATTCTGTACAGATAATAAAATCTTAAGGTGGCAATGACTTCATTACCCCTCACACCCTCAACCCTCGCACTTGTAATCTACCACATTAAAATCAAAAAGCAACTACAGCTGTGTCTCGATAATTTTAAAAACTTAAATATAACATAACTTACATCACTTCAATATTTTACTCAGAGTGCTCTTTGAACTTTTGTTTACAAACTATAAATAATGTTTAAGGYATGTCACTAGAAAAATACATATGTGTGTAGAATTTATTTTTATTTCCTGCTTTTAGATTTGAGTTATCGAAACTCTACTGTAGTCATTTTTATAACTTCTGCAAAAAATATCAATGTCCTAAGAACTTTCATACTTATRATTGACGACTGAAATACTGAATAATAATTACTACMTATACTATAGCATTTTGTAATATTATATACATTTATTATCAGTCATCATAATATTTATTTATATTAATATTTTAAATAATAACAAAATAACTTCCAACTTCTAATTCAAATTATTATTTTCACCAATTAACCTAGTCAGAAATTGAGGGAATTTCAGAACCTAAATTAAATTCTAAATGTATTAATTTTTATTTTAAAGTAATTCAACTTTAACCAGATAGTTGAAAATAATCACTAACTTTCAAAACTTTGGATATTAAAATGTTGTAATACTCGTCGTACTGATATCAAATCCATCGGTGTGTGCWTGCCTTAAAAAGTGAAAAGGCAATAAATTATTTAAAATTGAGTACATAATATTATAGAGGTACACGCGTCGCTCTTGCGTTTCGTTGTGTGATATATATTMAAATTACAACAAACATATCGCGTTAAAAATGCAATATTTAACAAACTGTTTATGGAGTGCCATACATGTTTTAAAATTTAATGATGAGAGATGATAAAGCGAAAAATGCACAAAGAGATTAAGTAATTTCATATCCATACTCACCGATTAAATGTTAAAAAGCGACGGTCCACTTGAACCGTATAGTTAAATAGATAATAAAAGTTATGTATGCATTTTAGGGCGCGTACGAATGGAAATCGATTAGAATTTGAAATGGGTAATACCTATATTCTACGTTAGCCGACAATCGGCTTAAAAACTTTAAATAGAAATGTCACTTTAACACACACAGTGATTAAATAAATAATATTTTGTTTCATTTTAAAACACTATAAAAGGGTGTTAATTGTACCTAAAATAATAATATATTAATATATTATACATATTTCAATAAACATACTTGCATACCAGCATAGTTTGAATGATAATTTTTTTTCAATTAAATTGTGCATTTGCAGMATTGATGGTCTAATAATATTTCTGATTTATTGTCTTTAAAGTAAATTACACCTAAACGATAGAACGTAGTTATTTACTACCGTATATTCTACAGAATGATCAACAAATAAGAATATAATATGTTATTTTGATATTTCATTATATTTAATTCACTAATAGAATGTATTTAAAAGTAGACCTTTATAATAAATTAAAATTAAAATTCGTCGATGAGACTAATGGATATATTATTATGGATTTTATCTACAAAATACACTATGGAAAAAAGACATGAGGGAAAAAAATATATTTGTTCTT